AGTTAGAAAAGCGCACAAGCACTCCAGTACTATCAGTTATGCTTGGAGGAACATAAGAAGGGCAAGGGGGAGGGGAGGGAAGGCGACACAAACTCAGAAATAGCCCGTTTTTTTTGCTTTGAGAGAGCACAGCCTGCTAACAGCCAGGTCCAGCGTTCCAGAAAATCGGTGTACTGCAGTATTACTATCAGTAGACAGCATGGAAAAACCCAGTCCACAGATATATGCCCTCCCAATGATCTGTGTCTCAAAGAAAAGAAAAAAACCTTAAAAGTGGCATCCTTATTGAATTTGTCTTCCTTGAAATTGATTCTACATTGTGGCCTACTTCTTTTTTATTTCTAAACCTATTATGGGCCACATCTGTGGAAGTCTGTATCAACTATTCTGAAACCAGCTGCTGCTGAGATTCTTTCAGTTAAGCTGAAATTAAGAACAGGTTTGTGGGCTCCCTACCTGCTGTGAAGCCGTGATGTAGTTTATAAAATTACATATGGGTGAGAAAATCTGACTGCCAGGGCTGGAAAAGTTGGTACATTTAGCAGGAACCTAAAATAACCATGTACACTGAGGCTATACTTACTTTGCAATATTAACTTTTTCAGCTCTCTTCCTCGGTGTCATTGTAAAAGCAATATTGAATAATTCAATGTAAAAAAATGTGGGTTTGATAGGATCAAAGCACAAAAATCAAAATCAGGCTATATCCTAGCAACCGTGTTGACAGTAGGGGCAAATATGAAAGACATTAGAGTTAAAAATGGTGATTCTTTAAGAAAGGTCTCCAGATTATTTCTGCCATGAGGAAAAGCTCCTTACATACCATAAATGAGATGATGGAGACAAACACCGATCATCTTTTAGCATTAATGCAATTGCATTGATAGCAAGGGGACAACTTGTAGAATAGAAAGTAAAGAGGGTATGACCACATTCTGAAACCTGCCACAATTTGTCAACAGATGAAATAAAATCGCTTATTGTTACACATTAATAGATATATCAGATCACAAAATATGTGCATGTCTCAAAATGGAAAAATATTTTCAAATCCATTTGATAGATGTATGCCTTACTAAATGAACAGGGTGCAAGAGCTTGACCTCAATCTCTGCAGACCCAGAGTATGCTGGTGTGAAAAACTTTGATGGGTCAGGGTGTGTGTTTTCATAGTCCAAACTCTGGAAGCAGCCTGATACCACACAGCTACTGAGGCATGATTAGAGAGGGAGGAGAAAAAGATTTTTGCAGCGCACATGAGAAGTCAATGTATTTAATCCAAGAGTATATGCTTGTTATTGATTGAAACCATTTTTGTTTCGCAGTGAAATTTGTGCCACCCACAGAAACTCTGAAAGCACACCAATGTTAGTATGGCCCATTTTAATTGGAGTCAGAAATGTTAGTTTCTTGTAAAAAAGCATCACTGGGAATGTTTCTATGTGGTTATCTGCAGATGTACACGAGTATTAGAGTTGCCTGTGCCTTCCGGTTTGTAACTAACTTCTGCACAGGCTCTTTGTATTTCCATATACACCAAGAAAAGGTCTGATTTAGAATGTGAAGAGTAATACAAGATTATTTGTCGTTAGTTTGTGTGCTCTTTTTTCCTGACCCAAGCACAGTTTGAAAGCAAAATCTCTGGCTTAGATTTAAATAGATACATATTGGTTTATTGGCAGAACTGGATAACTAACTGTAAAGCCAAGGGCTGTGTTTAGAAAGGGTCATTGAGAGACGGATATGATGGGTGACTGAGGAAAAAGCTAGTCTGAATCTTGTGATGGGAGGAAGATTCCTTAAAAAAATCAAGAGCTGTAAACTGTCCCAGAGTAGCATTATTTAGATATGTTTTCTGATCTTCAGATAGATTTGCAACAACAAAAAGTATTCATCAGCACAAAACCTGAGTAACTGAGCAAGCATATGTCAAAAGTTAAAGTGACTGGATCCTCTAGATTACATTTCACTGACTGTATCCGTGTATGTGACATGCACACACACACACACACACACACACACACACACACACACACACACACACACACACACATGAAATATAATCCAAACTTGGCTTGTTTGCCTGCCTTGAAGGATTTATCTGTGCTTTCAGCTTTGCTTTTAGAGAGACGGCCTTTTCTCCTTGCTATTCTACCATGGTGTTTCTCGGGAACCTTTTCTTATCTAAACTTCCACCAATCACTCCTAAGGCTAAGTTATGCAGACAAGTCATCGCACAGAATTTCATCAAACTGCCATTTTCCCAAACTTGAGAAAGCCTGGTCCCAAATGCTGAACAAATAATTTATTAGACTATAGCAAAAGTAAATAAATGCTTTCCTGCTCCAAGTATTTCATTAGCCAGAATTATTGTACATACAAGTCTATAAATAGCAAAACACGTATTGAGCCATTAATATCGCTGACATTCTCATACAAAATACTGTAATTTAAAGAATTTGAAACTGGAGGACATCTCCTGGAAGATTTCTGGCAAAGATAAAAATGGGTAAACAGTGTCTGAAAACAGATTAATCATCCATGGAAATGATACGTTACTAACAAATTGAAAATTAAGAACATTCTCTCTACCTAAAATTTCTAATGACATTGACTATATTATGTAAATACGTTTTGCATCTCTTTTAAGTCTATAAATTCTTACACCATTCCAGTTTTGCTTTTAAAACCCAGAAGTGCTGGACTCAGCAGAAGAAATGTGAGAAAATCTCCTATTTAAAATTACATGGACAGAGGAACTCTGCTGGTGACTTTCCGTGAAATTAATATACCGCTTGATTGTTTTTAAGGTCTCTGCATCTTCTGAATTTTTAATTGCCTTTCCATTAAAGTGGAATACCCCTCGCTTACTAAGCCTGAGATGGGTTCTCCAGTCCTTTCACCCCTGTAGCCTCCTATTTTCTTACAGGAACAAGGAGTGCAAGACTGGGCCCTATGGAAGAAAATACGGAAAATATTAAGCATTTTAGGCATTACTCTATCAAGTAAAAGAGCAAGCACTGCATTGTGTATTCTCATGTTTTACTGACTAAGGGAAAGAATCTGTACAGACTCAGAGAGAAAAGGAGTGGGTCATAAAAATCACATTTTTAGGTAGAGGAGTTGGGAAGTCTCATGCACCTTTCATTGCTCTGACTTGTCAATTTTCGCCATATGGAAATTGTTAGCTTAATACTGTAGTTCTAAATAGTGCCCAGGAATGCTGATTTATAATGGATTTCCTACTCTTTGTGTAAAGAAATGCTAAACTACTATATAAACCATGATTAGAGAATCTACATGCTTGTGTTATAGGTGTGTGCCTGGCGTGAATTCTTCAAGCTTAGAGGTGACATCTGCTCTGGTCCACTTGCAGGTAAATCCAGCATCAGTGAACTCGGAATTTCCACGAAATGCTGCAGGTCCGGAGTAACTGGGAACCCAATTTAGCCTGCAATTGAAAAAGTGTGCAGGAAAGATGCTGATGCATAAGGAACAAAATCCAGACATTCCAGATACGTTATTTACTGTTGAGGCATTTAAAGACACCACCTTAATGCAAGGAAGTTGCCTTTGAAGAATAGGCAACGTGCATTTTTTAAATGTGCGTCCTCTCTATATTTTGACCAGCTGCAATGCACGTCTGATTATTTTTTTTCTGTGAATTAGAATTAAATTTGATTGTCCCAAATACATCCCACTCAGGCATTCATGCTGAAAGCAGCAACAATTGTCAATGACCTTTAGCACGCCTGCTATTCAAATTAGTGCAGATCATTAATCACACATAGCTTACATTTTATGATTCGTGTATCCTTCATTACCAACTTTCCCCTCCCGCTCGCTGCCTCCCACCCCCACCCTTTCCCTTTATTCCGAGGGAATAAGCACTGGAAAGGGCAGGATTTAAAGCCTCGCCCGCCCCAATTTTGGTTTTTTCTCATTGCCGAAGCAGTTCGCGTCCCAAGTGCAAGACAGAGGGAGGGCGGCACGGGGCCGGTGCGCCCAGGAAGGGTCGGGCCAGGGGTGGGGGGAGGCAACTCCGGCGAGGAGCGAGGAGCCGGGGTGCCCGGGGGTGGTGGTGGTATTCTACCGGCCCGAGGCGCCGAGGTAACACCGACCCTCCGTCAAAAGTCCTCCGTGTCAATTGTACGTCATCGCACGTTACGAGACAAAGAGAGACAAAAAGGGAAAAAAAAAAAAAAAAAAAGAGGCTCCATCCACACCCTTGATGTCTAGTACCAAGCGTTAAATTAGGCTTCCCAGCCATAGACTAAACACACTCCCCTCGCCTATGGCACACACAGATTTGGCGTGATTAAACCGAGCTTCGCAAACAGACAGGAAAACAAGAATTGAACTTTTCAGCCATAGGAGTGGAGGGGCGGGCGGGGGAAGCTTTTTGTTGCTTGTTTTTTTTTTTTCTAAAGCCATATGGCAGATTGATTTGTTCGGAGGTCTTTCAACTTCCCCAGCGTGGCTGTTGAACAGTATTCCTCTTTGATCTTGATTGAGGACTTTAATGTTGTTGTTTCTGCGCATTTCAATAGATCCATAAATATTTTACCAGTGGAATTCGCCAAAAAAAAAAAAAAAAGGAAAGAAAAAAAAAAAAGGAAAAATAAAGTTTCTCATAGAAATGCATCTGGGGCAACTCCAGCCCGCACCTTTCGCAGCGGAGGAGGTACGTGGGAACCGGGGCGGCGGTCGGCACAAGCGCCACGCCGCGCCCGCACAAACGCGGAGAGAGCCCGCCCTTCCCCACCGCCCTCCGCCCCGCGCTCCCGCAGCGCCCGAGGGCGACCGGCGCCCCGCGCCCCAACTTTGCTCCGCGGAGACAATAGTGGCCGGCGTGTGCGTGCGGGCCCCGCACCGGCCACACCGCGGCGGCCGCCGGGGGACGCGCGGCGGCGGCGCTGGGGCTGGGGCTGGGGGCGGGCGGGGCGCGGCGGGGGCGGTGCGCGGGCGCGGGGCGCGGCGGGGGCCGGCGGGGCCGCCCCGCCAGAGGAGCCGCTCGGCGGATCATGTGCAGCGCGGCGCCGCTCGCATGCGGCGCGTGGTTTCACCTTCAGGGCTGCTCGGCGCGCCCTTCCCGAACGCCGCCGGCCGCGCAGGAGGTGAGGGGCGGCGGGGGATGGGGGAGTAGGGGGAATGGTCCGGGGACGTCCTCGGGATGCGTCCCTATGGGGGAAAAAAAAAAAAAAGAAAAACCCCAAAAACTTCGCGCCTCCCCCCCGAGTACCGGAGGACTGTCCCCCCGGTTATCGGAGCGGCTCCAAAATGGTAACTTTGCGCTGTTCGGCGAGGAGGAGGAGGACGATTTTACTGCAGTGGTGGTGCCGGGGGTGGGGAGCCCTGCGGGCTTCGGGAGCCTTTTGGCTTTGTACGCTCCGTTAGGGGCGGTGGGGGTGGCGGACTGCGATATTAATCCATTAAGAGACAAAGAACAAATTGCCTCACTTTAAAGTAAAATGCTTCGGCTAAAGAAGATGGGTGATGGGTCTTCGAACCCCAAGTAGCCACTTCAATTAATAAGAGTGGGTTGTTTCCCCCCCGCCCCTCCCCGATAGTATTGATTCAGCGTGTGCGTGAAATGCCCGATGCGGGGCTGTGTCCATGTGTGTCCCCCCCCTTGTTTTTGAGTCGCTCTCGGTTCCGTGGCGAGTCGGTCGCTGCTTGATCCCCGTTAGAGAAGTACACAGTTTATCAAAGGAAGTTGGGGGTGGGCGGGCAGAGAAAACAATTATTCACATATAGACAGCGAGGAGGGCTCGGAGGACAATGTCTCCGTAGCGATTATTTCCAGAAGAGGAAAAATCGCTCGTTTGATGCGGGTGGGGAGGGAAGCAGGGAGTCTAATGTACGTGTTAAAAAAAAGGGTGTGTGTGGGGGGTGTCGAGAGGAGGAAAGGAAGGAGAGAGAGAGGGAGAGAAAAGAAGAATAGAAATAATGCAGTTCCAGACATTTTGTGCTTTAAAAGCTTTCCTCCTCCTCGTCCCTCCCTCCCTCCCCCCGCTACTATCTTCGGTGATCATTAGCATAGCGCCGAGTCGCGATCCTAATGCGAATTAAGCACTTGGGCAAGTTGAGGAAAGTTTGGATGGGTAAACTTTGCTATGAGGGAAGAAGGTGGGGTGCTAAAACTGGCAGTACGTGTGGGGAGGCGTGTGGAACATGACAGCCGGCCGTTGTTTTTCCCCTCAAACCAGCTAACCTCTGCAATTAACTGCTGGAGACAAACCCAGTGTTTTAAGCCGAAAGGTGTCGGTTTGGAGTCAGCACCATTTATTAGGAGCGTTAATAAGCTCCCAGCAGCAGACAGGGATCTTCTGGGGAATGCGTATTGTGTGTGCCCACATCTTATCCTTTACATTACCCCTATAGATGGGGAGGCGCTCGGGCATTGGACGTGCAAATATCATTTTGCTCGGACTATTTGCGAAACATTAATTCTGTTCTTTATTTAATCCAGATGCAGGGTTCCCCTCCCCCCCCCCCATTTGCTGCCTTATTGTTGGTTTACATTTTCTGAAAAGGCGACTGGTGTAACCTGTGGAATTTGAAATGCAAATAAAAGCCTGTGGGAGTTGAGGCAGAACAAATCAGCATTTATAAAGTGAAAAAGATTTAATGTCTTTGAAACCACTGCTAGATTTTTTTTTTTTTAATAAGAACTGAATCGTGACGTCAAGTCGTTTGGGCAAGATTTTTTTATTATTTTTTTTTAATGTCTGAAACGTGGGTATGCGAAGTGCTTACAGGAAAAACAGATTACAAGATTAACATCTGTTAACATGATCGTTTATCTCCAGCCAAAAATAGGTCAGTCCTTTCTTAAGGAAACACGATTGCTGGGCGCATGATTAAATAATGAAATTAGGCTGATGAGTTCATAAATTAGACGCTGTGTCGACGTGCGTTAGGATCCGACCTGTGACAAAAATATGTAATTCGAGGTCCGCCGGAGAGCGATGCGGGGTCAAAGTCTCTTTTTTGGGGAGAGGCGCAACTCTCTCGCCGCCTCTTCCTCCTCCCCTCGCTCCCCATCGCCGGGCGCTCCCCGCCGCCCCCCCGCTCGCACCCAGCGTCTCCCCGGCTGCGGAGCCGAACTCTTTCCCTGCGAGCGCAGAAGTTTCCTCGGCGGGGAGGGACGCGGGGGGGGTGATGGTGGGGGGGGCGGTGGAGGAGGTTGGGGATTGGGGCCGGACGGACGCCGAGCCGAGCCCCCGCCTGCCGGCGTTCCCGCCCCGCCGGGGCGGCCCCAGCCCGCGGGCCCGCCCCCCGCCACCGCCCGGCCCGGCCCGGCCCCGCTCGGCTCCGCTCCGCTCGGCCCCGGGGTGTCGGGGCGCGGCGAGGTGGGGCGGGGAGCCGCTGTGCCCCCGCCTTACCCCCTGCCCGGCGCTGCGCGCACCCCCCGCCCAGCCGCGGTATGGATGCCCCCTCGCCGATTCGCCCCCCACAGCGGCGGGGTCGGGCTTATTTTGGAAGTGGGTGCAAAACTGCCGTGATGAAAAATCTCCTCGGGCCTGGCAGAACCATCGATATTTTGATTTTTGTGTGTAAATTTTTTATTTATTTATTTATTTTTTTCCCCGAGGAGGATTCACAAATTTCTAGAGATTTTTCTGCTCAAAACCGTGGGCTGGCCGCTGTGCTCGGGGCTGGCTCCTCGGCGGCCGGGGAGAGGTCCCAGAAGCCTGCCCGGCAAAGGGCCGCTGCGCTTTGGCCCCGTGCCACGGACTTTATTTCATGCTTGCTGCACTAAATGAGTTAACAGCCAAAGGGTTTTTCATTAACTCGACTTGGCAACCGTGTATTTCGTTGGCTTCTCCCCCCCCCCCCCAAAAAAAAAAAAAAAAAAAAAAAAAAAAAGAGAAACGTGTAATTTTAAGCAAAAGCTGAATGGCATAATATGAGTTGATTTGAGAGGGGGAGTTTTTCTCAAGATCTGTCAGATTTCCCTTGTGTCCTCATCCCCATTCGTGACGTGTGGGTAGGTTGATAGCCCAGAGTTTTATTTTGGAGGATGCGTGCATCCTGATTTTTGACCATAGCTGTCATGTGGGTGTGTTAAGGCCCTGTGTGTCCAAGACCGAGCAGGAGGATGCTGACCCTGAGGGAGGGCAGTGACCGGCAGCTGCCCTACCCGGCAGCCTCGCAAGTAGATGGGATGGGGGAAAAAGTGTGTATGTACATACTGGGGAGCACGTTGTTGCATGCGGGACAGGTGCACACGGGGCAGGGAAGGCTGTTGTGGTGGGCAGGATAGGGGTGTGTATGCACACATGCAGGGCAAGGATGGGGTACATTGCATTGCTGCACACGAGCCAGACGTGTGTGCCCGTAGGTCCTGCCAGATGTGAGATTGCTTCACTGAGGCAGGTGCACGTGTGTGCTCAAGCACCCGTGTTTGTGGCGCTGGATCTGTGTCCCACAGGCAGGTGTGGGTGATAATGCGCCTTGGGTGCAGCGACAACCCTCCTGTGCTTGCCTGCCAGGCTGGCTGCTGCTAGTGGGCCAAAAATAACTGTATTGTAAGAGGTGTTTGGTATTTTGGGGGGAGCAGTGGTGGGAGGGTGGTGGTGATGGGAGCAGAAGTTTCATCGAGGTAGGGAGTATTTTGGTACTTTTGCTCAGGTAGTTTTGTCTGCTGCAGCTGGCCAGGATGTGTTGTCTCTCAGTGGACGCTGCTGCTTTGTTTCCCACCACCATGTCCTCCACCTCAGTCACACAAACCCACTGTCGGCTTGGTCATGTGCTTGCTGCTTTGTGCACCCCATTTTGTCTCACCTGTCAACCTTCAGTGGTTTTCAGAGCTTCCTCCCTGGTGAAACTGGAAGTTTAAGTTGTATAGGAGCGCTGGTGGTGTAATTAGTATCATGGTGCGGTTATTCCAGGAGACAGCTTTAGCTCTACAAGGGTAGCTGACATCTTTAGCTCTACAAGGGTAGCTGCCATAGCCATCTTGAATGAGCTCTGTACAATAAAGTCATTTTTGTGGGGCTCTGTGTTGCTGGTGCATGCACACCTTTACTGGCTCCTGGTGTAAACTCTTTCTTAGCTATCTCTAAAAATTCTTGCCTGGGGTTTGTTTTCAAGCCTTTAGTTCCTATAAAACTGAGTGGTGTTGAAATGACATCTACTTAGTGATAAGTGCTATGTGATCTGTGTGAACAATAGGGCATTATACCCTCCCCCTAAAGTGTTCAGTTTAGTATGCAAAGGTAATGCCTACAGGAGGGGAAAAAAAAGAAAGGAAAAAATAAAGCATCAGTGAGAATAACAATTGTCCTAAAGAATGGTCTAAAACATGTTTAAAGAGAGGAGTGGTCTTTGTTAGCATAGCCCCTGTCTAAGCTCAGCACAACCTTCTAAATTGCTGTGCGAGAAGGTGTGCATCAAGAGCTGCATACAGTCCCTTCTTGAACTACTACTTCTCTGTGCATCATAGAAAAGAAAACAGTTTACATCACTAGGGTGAAATCTACCTACTGTTGTTTGCAAGTGACCTGAGTAACTGTGTCTTCCTGGAATGGAACAACAGGAGTGACTTTTGTTGATTAAAGTTTCGCTGTGACAGTGACTAATGTCTTTGCTTTAAAAATTAGGTTCATCATAAGATTTTATGGTTGGTCATAGTATTGTGCTGTCACCAAGATTTAACAATAGCAATTAGCAGTACAGAAGTATTCACTGAAGGGGTTCAAAACGATTGTGCCACCATTCTGAATCTCTGCCTATTGAATTGATCCCTCATTTTAGCAAAGGAGGGTGTTTATGTCTTAACACTTTACAAATCCCCTTAAGAAGCTGTGTCCTTGGCATCAGTTGACTGAAAAATGAGTTATCTTTAAAATGCACCCTACTGTGGGTGCTTGCACAAGAGGGGGCCTGGAAGAGTATTCTTATAGAAATTATGTAGTCACCAACTCTTGAAAACTTTGGGCAGCCTGTTTATTTGGATTTTCTTGTTACAGCCTTTGTGTGCAGGTGACGTCAACAGTTATCTCTAGTTATCTGTGATCCTAACTGGTGAGTTTTATACTGAGGTCCCATCTAATGAAGGGCATCTATATTTGGTATGATCTAAAACCTGTCAGCTTGGAAGGCCTCACTT